TTGTCTTGCTCTGAAAGGAGAGAAGATGATATCAAGTCTGCCAAGGGATCTTGTACTAGTGAGTGCTGCAGAATGGACCACTATAGTCGCTTTAATTTGCTGCAAGGGCTTCCATGAGTAAGGCTATTTGCTTCCTGCACTCGAAGCTAAAACACATCATAACACGGCTTGATTCATACCATATCTCCCACCCAACCTCAAACATCATGGGTTACCAAACCCGAAATCAGCTAGGTTTTACTTTTCGCCTCTTCACAGCCTACCAAGTGTTGCGGAAAACCGACAGAGGCATCAAATGCGATCTGGCTTATTTCGCTGACACCAAGCATCGAATAGCTTGTGGACCTGGGATGCGCCACGCAAACTGAACTATGGATGGAAGCAAATATTACCCGCGTAACCAAAATCTCAAGGGCTAACTCATGACTCATAAGGATCAGTTGTAATGTGATGCTTCGGTCCAACCTGATCTGTTGCTACTTTTCTCAAAGAACGAGCTGGACCAGATAAAGACTGAGCTGCTGTTACCTGAACACGTGGTGAGGCAAGAAAGTTGGGAAGGATTAAGGACGTGACATCGTTTGTTTTTCTGAACACTTCGGTGAGTCCACTCAGAGGAGGGCCGTGTTTTTGAAGTAGCTCACTGACAGTATGACTCATTCCATCGCTGTACTGTTCTGGGCATTCAGAGGAATTTCATGAATGAGTTTCAATGGTAGAAGGATGAATGGTTGGAGGATAAATGGAGAGTCTAACGACTGCCGCCGAGACTTTAAACGCAGAGCACTGGACCTCTCCCATTAAAATGTAAATCTACAGGAGTTATGAGTCACTATTAAGATAATCAGGTCAAGTAAATGATCATTACTGGTTGCCTAATATGGTCAGCAATCACCAACTAATTAGCATGATTTATCGGGCGTTCCGTTCGTTCTTATCTCCGAACGTCTCCCTCTCCGAGTTGGGGCTCAAGTAAGGTGAGTGACGGACTTCGTTGGTGCGAATGTTTGCTTAAAGTGAACAGTTTGGTCACGACCAGCGGCCGCGGCGGTTGCGGCGTCGGCGGAATAGCCGCCGGAACCGCTTTTGGCCGCCATGGGGCAGCGCTGCTGCTGCTGCGTTCCAAGCAGCCACGTACATGGTGAGGCACGGGGCCTGACTCTTGAGCTCATGGCGGGGTGGTCCTGGCTGTAATAGGCCTCATTTTTGGAAATCAAACTGCTGAGAGATGGAACGTTGATAGAAATGGAGCGAGACGGTTCCAGTTAGTCGTAGGTCGAATTACGCGTCAAACAATGAGATCTAACGAAACACCCTTGCGGTTCATTCTCTAGATGTAGAGATGATTTTACCGGAGTAAAATAATCAATAACGTATGGATAGGAGCTTATCAGAGTTTTCTCTTATTGCAAGGCTCCGAAGCACCACACAGCCAGCTTAACTAGGGTGGGTAGTGCTATAATTTTTCTGCTTTAACTTTTCATCGCAAACATTTTGAAAAAAATTCACTCTTATTTCGCAATGCTGTATCTATAGTGCACGTATAATTGAGCTCATATCGCAGCCTGCGTCACATTAAGCGAATTGGTGTGATGATTATGCCCAAATGGAACCTAGTTTTCATCGAGAAATCTTTTTACCGGTAAATATTGCCAAGCGACGTTCACAGTGAAAACTTTCAGAAATATTGTGTACAAAAGCAGAGTTAATCCGCATGGGGCCGATGCCACACCGTATACCAAAAGCCACACACCTTGCGACTGAAACTGCTTCATTGCCGACCGCTTTGCCTACATCATAAATTCGTTTCACGAATTCGCGAGCGGATTTAGTAAGCGAGATCTGAGGATTGAGCAGTCGATCAGGCGATATAAAATATCACCGGGAGGCGGGGGGGGGAAGCAAAAAATGAGAGTCACTCGCCCATTTCGCCCCACATCATTTTCAATTTTGTCGCAGAGGATACCGTTATTGTGGACGTTTCAAAGCGCGAGATTTATTTTCATGTCCCCAGAGCCAAAACAGATCCTCCTTCACTGTCCCTACCGCCTTCAGTAAATGATGTCCCCTGCCGCCACCGTCGAGCTCGATGAGGCTTACCGAAATCGCTTCGGACCTGAAGCTGCCACAAAATTTCTTCAGTTCACTAACTGGTGAATAACTTTTCAGAGACACTATCTGTAAATGTGCAGGATTGCTTTTGGCCAGCGTTTCAGAGACATCGAGATGGTCTATGGTAGCTCAACGACCCCATTGAGCTCAAACCGTGAACCATGTTCCGTGTTGTTTGCTTTCCTTGTTTTCCATGTTTGTGTTTCCGAAACTCTTCCGGGTCCCGTCGGTGTAAGAAGAAGGACCTTATGTAAATTTTAACAGACTAGAACGTGCTATTGTTCACTTTGGTCGACTTGATTTGTTTTCGCAGCGTGTAATGAATTTCGTTTCGAAGGAAGGAAAGTGGCGCTTTTTTAGCTCCTCCCCCCTGTATGTGCATCTCATGTTGAATGACGATGACAACCTGAAGGCCTTTCTTCGTGGCTAAAAGCGGGCAATATCTGTAGATAGGGTGCAAATGTAGTCAAAATCGCTCGCCGGAAAATCGGGAATCGGAAGTTAAGCAACTCACTTGAACAGGAAGGTAGTTTTGAGCAGGTATATTGAGAGCGCTTTCAAAGAGTTCCTCTAAACAAATCAAGGGCACTGTTTTCGAGTAACTCAACAATTAAGTAGAATTTTCTCCGGAAAGAAGGGTAAAGGTGTAAACGGTAGGTGTAGAAGGTACTAGTGAGCTGCGGAAACACCTTTTAGGTGCTGAGGGATCGCTTTCCCCTTGATTGAGATTGTTCTGCAGAGAAATTACAAATGGTTCAATTACATACAAAATCAATAATTTTATTGAAACATGGATGGAGCTCCGAAAGAAATTGAACCGCCGGGACCAGCGCTTGAATTACCTTGACGGAGAAATTCAGAAATTTTTCCCGAGGTAATTCAATCAACAAAACGTCAAGAAGATCGTCTAGAATTGACTTGAAGCTTTTTGCTCTCCGCGCGACGACATCAGCACCATATTTGGCTAGTCCGAGGTGGCTTTGTGTCTAAATAAAGACAAGGTTCCATAGAAATAAGTGGAGCGTCACTCGATCGATATTTGAAGATGTTCAACGGGCTGCCTGCAAAATGGAAATCTCGATGGAGGTAATGTTCAATTTGGTCCAGTGCACGAATTTAGAACACTTAGAAGTATGTGCTACATTGAGACAAGCGTACTCTCTTGTGTCTTCAAGGGATCAAGAAATAACGCGATCGTCAGTCTATTTTTGATATTTGGCACTCAGGGCGGAAGTGGTGTAGTGGCAAGTGGCGCGCTCACCACGCGAGCGGTCCGGGGATCAAATCCTGGGTCGTGAGTCGCCCGGGCCAACCAAGCCTTCCATCCCTCCGGGGTCGGTTAATTGGTACCAGACTTGTCTGGGAGGATAAAAACACTGACTTGTACATCGGCTGGCCCCCGCAAGTCATTGTATAGGCCACATCGCATTCAAACGCCACTACGAATGTACAAATGGAAGTAGAATGCGTGCCGCATCCCAAAAAGGGATTGATCAACGGCAAATGCTTTATCCTTTATCCTTTTATCCTCATTCCACACCAATCAGGATCGATGTTGCAAACTTTTGAATGCAAGTGAGCCTACACGATGAATTGCGGGAGCCTGTCTTGCTCGGTTTTGCATGTGTTAGCGTTGAAATCCTACTACACGAGTTCACTACCTCGTAGGCTTGGTTGAAGTGGGCAGTGTGGGATCGAGGACAGTAGAACCATTGAGCCCGAGATAAGCAACGTCACTTGCAGTGACCCTCTTATCGCCCACAAGGTTATTCAGTGCTACTTCAGATGCTTACAGTGTAAGTGCGAAAGGAAATGCTGTTCGCTTTTTACGGTGCACCATAAACTTCCGAACATTCTCAAATAAGTGAAACCTTGAGGTGTTCATACTCATAGTGATTAATTTTATTGCCACTCTGGGCTAGTCCTTCTCCGCGTAACTAAGTGTTAGATAGGTAACGCCTCCGGAACTAGTATATATCGTCTTTCAAGCTGTTCACATTTAGTGGGGCATAGACCTTTTTTGAATTTTTTAGGGTACATCGATGACGAAGTTGAAGCATGACTTCGATAAGACTAAGGAATCAAACACTCAGCTACGGAACACTGGTAATGGAGCCTGGAGGCTTTCCAAATCAGATATGAATACGTGCGCAACGATGGGAGTGAAACCCTCTCGTGGTACGCGAGGTTGTGCAGGCCTTTAGAATCGGATGGCGTTTGTATTTCGCCCATTCAAAGGGTTATGGAGGCAATTCGCTACTAGAATTAGGATTTAAGGTGCAGGACCTATGTGTCGCTGTTACTTCTTACCGCTCACTTTTTGTCCTTCCTTTCGTCCGAAGGTCGGAAAAATACATAGTTAGGTGGCCCATCTTGCTGCAGCAATGTTTCAGGATTGTCAAAACCCTAGTTCACATTGCTGAGCAGTGAGTCACAGCTGCGCGGGCCAGCTTGGTGTGTTCCGAATTTGGTGAGCCCGCCACTGCTTTGGGAGCCCTGCTCGGTTTTTGTGTGCTGGAAAACACGTTCCTCTTCGGCGCTCACATGCTAACCCGAAGTCCTCAAAGGAGGCGGGGAGCGAGGCTCGAGGCGAATACGCGAACGAATACACACACAGAGAGACAGACGGACGCATACCTTCACGGGAGGCACCTCTCAAAGAGCCGCCCCTGACCACAGCTATACATCTACTTAGCCCATTCCATCTGTCACCACAAGCATCTCTATCACTGCTGAACACCTACATCCACTATGCAGGACCGATTGGTGCATTCATTGCTCATTACAGCATTATTTCTTGGTCAGTTCATTTCCAATTACCAATACGAGTTTATTGTTTACTTAACATCTTATTGATGCCATTTTGCTATACAACTTGTTCTCTTTACTTTTCACAGCATATCATGATGAACTTTTTTCAACTCTATGCGAGCGCGATTGTTACTCTGGTTTGTGCTGAACCTATATCTTGTTATTCCCAAAGTGCTGTATTTGGAGTACTCACTAGCAGTTTGGTAGAAAACGATATTTCCTAAGTGGCTGCGAGATCTGTTTAAAGAGGGCTTGTGACCTTGATGATAACACCTACGAGCTTGGATCGCGCTCTCATCGGGTTACAGAAGGTCTCAATTTTGAGCAAGAGGTACACAGACCATCTTGCAGTAACTGGCCAACATTTGGCTTTTTTGTACCACCACACGCCAAGCAGATCGCCGACCATTGTCTGCTCTTTTGCTTTCTATTTGCATTATGGGGATGTCTTTCATAAGCTCGGTTCATTTTCTACCTAGCTGTAGAGATTGAAGGGCTATATCATGAAGCCCTGGGAGCAAATTATTCAGGGATTGTTATGAAACCAGAAACTCCCTACAATGCCTTTTCGACCCCTCTCCTTCGATATTTTTTGCGCAACTTCTTGGACCTTGGAGAAAATCGCCCCTAATCCTAGACGAAGGATTTGACGATGTCCAAGGGTAGCACTTAGATTTAGGTCAGTTGATTATGAAAAGATATGCTTCCAATTGGTATGTTTATTCAGCCAGGGATCGGCTTGCCGTCAATAAGATCTTCAGCAAGAACACCAATTTGAGCAAAAACTTTACTAGAGATACCTAACCGACAAACGGTCCGATTACAGTATTCCAAAAAACAAGGACCCGCTAATTTAAAAGAGGCTCTTTAAACACCTGTGTAACAAACACCTCCTTTTCTTTGAGCGCCACTTGAGCGCAACTTTTGAGCGCAACTTTACCAAACCCTCCTACAGTAAGAAATGCAGGATAGCATACAAACCCTCCCACTCCAAACCCTTCCACAGTAGCAGGTCACGTCTATTAGGCGTGAGAAGTTGGGCCATGTAGGTACTCGCTCTGCCAATTCAGGCTTCAAAAAAAGGACAGGCCTTCTTCTCAATATGTGGCAAATTACGATTTTGCATATACTCATGTGTTGACACTAATGGAAGCAACTGATTACTTAGCAAACAATTAAAAACAAGTCTTAGTTACCTAGTTATAAGGAAGACTTAGCGCTTTTACAAATAAGTAGATTTGTTTTCAGTAAATACCTGCCTATGCCAGACGCCGGTCATCGGTGGCACCTGTCGACTGGGCACCGCTGACGTGCAAATCGGCGGTAAACAAACGCAATTCTTCCTCAAATGTGAAGCAACATCAGAGTAAATTTCTTATTTCATTGAATCCACATTCATTGTCCTTCGATTGATTTCGCTGGTTTCAGTAGTGCTGCCGGCGACGGCGTTTGGGTGGTGAAATCCCGAGCGGCCACATCGCCAAGTACGTCGTCCACGGGCACCACGACCAGCTCGTTTACGGTCAATCAAGCGATTCCAGTCGAGAACTCTCAACCACAACAACATCCAAAACTCATGCGCAAACAGAATGCGCCCAATATTTGCGGTCAGTTCGAGGCATGCACTTGTGTGTTCATTTTAACCACTACTCATTCATTTTTCTATTTTGCTTTTTCACGTGTTTTCGTGCTGACTGGGTTCCCAAGTGGGAGATGCTCACGATCACGGTGTCATTTTTCACCGCGTCTTTGGGCGGGTGATTCTTACAATTAGTATACAAAACAATCCCTGCGCTCTCACGTTACTGACAATACTAGATCAACTCCAATATGGGACGCATTTTTGCGAGAGCAGACAACCCCTTCGGTACCACTGATAGCATGTTCTTTTATAATAAGCGTTCGGAGTAAATGATTAGTCACCCACATTATTCCCCACAAGACAGCAAAAAATAGAAATTACCTAATCCGCACCAAATACTGAAATGAGCCGCGACCTCCACGCATCCTAATTTGTGAGTGCGAATAGGCTCGTAAAATGCATTCTGCCATCTGAAGGGCACTTCGAGAGACTTTTCTGAAGCGAATTCAAAACACGAATGAGATATGTTCAAAAATTCAAATTTATGAATGTGAACACCCCACACCCTCAGTGAGAGGGCATTTCGTGGTCCCATGGCTTTGTCCTGTGCCATTCCTTCATGCACCATTTTATACTGTTTGGATTTCGTTTTTGGATGGTTCGTACAAACAGTTCTGAGCCGGAGGAAAAGGGGCTTTGTTTAGGCCGAGGGCCGGAATTAGTTCTGAGGTGGATGAACAAATTCCTCAAGAAGGGAAGTTCGTAGTTCGGAAAAGTGTTCCATGCACCCTGGGACTCTGATTCACTTCCCTTAGGCTTGCAAAACCCAATCTTCGTGACCTGCCTTTTGGAGGATTCAGCTGCTTGTGCCACCAATATACTACCTCACTGAAAAAGCGCTGGGCAAACGTTTGTATGTTGAAATGTTGATCTAGGATGAGCCATGTACTTACTCTCTCATTGTAGTTGCATTGGAAAGTAATCTATTCTGGTGATCATGACCTATCCATCTATCTAGAAATAATCCTTCATCTTCCGTGTAATTTTGCTGGAAATGCACGATTCTATAGAAATCGGATGAAGCTTCTGAAATCTCATTACGCCAATTTCATCTTGTCATTTCTCTAGCTGCAGCTCCTCGCCAAGGTGATCGCCAATAGACCAATACGGCACAGATTCCATGGCTTATTCTGGCGGCAATCAACCAGCTTATTCGGCCATCTTAAGCGGACTGACTGTGTTGTGACAGTAGCTCTCTAATCGGCTACAGTCAGTGATAATCGAAGTTCAAACATACGAGTGGACGAGCGCAAATACGCGCTGCGGACCAGCGTTACGCTCTCGTGGGCCAAGTAAGAGAGCAATTAGTGAGAGCTGCTACCCGGAAGAACATTGTCGTCACAACAAACGCGCCGAGATCAACGCCGCCATCTCGCGACTACCGTACTGATTGGTACGAATGATGATGAAATCACGCACTGCACTGATCAGGGCCACCCCTGCATGA